TATACACAAAATGATAAAACCGTTAAAATATATTGTTATATAAATCAAAAATCAATGTATACAAAAAATATGTTTGATATCCAAAACCAATACCGGTCTGGTATACGTCACGACCAACAACGGTACATAATAATWATTAAAAAGTAAGATGCTCTAGTAGACAAAACAATAGAATTTACTTAAGTTAAACCTGGCTATATTTATCACTAACTACCTGCAAGTGGTACATCGCTATTTATAAATAGTATACTTACTGTACTTACTGTTGAAATAATATGTACAACTTCAACAACTTACTCCTACGTCGGGTGGCATATAGAAAATCATTAAGTTTATGGTCTCTAAAACATATAATTTAATTGCCCACGACGAGTAAATTTGTCTATCAAACCTTGTCATATTAATTGAATTTGTGACCTGACATTGTGCAGTCTCTTGTGAAAAATAGAAAAAAAAATCATAATTACATAATTCTCGCCGACACGTTACGTCGTTCGTCTTTACGACAGTACCGATCGATTTTTCTACAGCGATCGGAATATTTATTTAATTTTATAATATTTTATTAATTATTTACGTTGRMTCTGTTGCAGCAGCTTCCGCCGGAACGACGATGACGGACGGTCGGAACRTGATCTCGCCACGGATGGATTTCGAAGAGTGGAAGCCGTTGGGCCGCGGCGACCCGCTGAAGAATGACCCAACGTTCGACTACCTGCCGCCGGTGCTGGACAGGGTGCTCTATTGGAAATCTCCGCCGGCGGCCACTAATCGCGCTCACTATTACTCGTCTGCGTCCACGGCGACGCCGACCACGTCACCGTCGCAAGCTGTTCACGGCGGTTACAACCGGCGGTTCTTCCTGACGGACTTTTCCAAAAGGGAACCGGTGCAGGCCGTGGCTTACGCAGCAATTAAGCGGCCGCCGCCCAACAACAGTATACTGCAGCCTCACCATCATCACCCGTACAATCACCACCATCCTCAGCAACAACAACAGCAGCAGCAACAACAAATGCAGCACCACCTGCAGACGCTGCAAGCGGTGTCCGCGGCCGGTTACCACTACTCGATGCATCTGGCCGCGCCCGTGCCTAGGACCCCGTTGCCTATGTTAACTCCGCCGCCGTACCAGCAGTGGCCGGTCACTGTGGATGGTCAGGTACAGTCGTCGTCCCCGGACGTGCCGGGAAACGCGGTGGCCGAGAGCAAACAACCGCCGCCGACCATGGTMCGGGCGCCGACGCGGTTCGTCCCGCCCTCGTCCCATCACTCTTCGGTCGTCAAGGCTCTGTTGGACGAAGAAGTTGACCGAACCACGGTCACGACGACCGGCACCCCGGTTACCGGGGCCGTTTGGATGACGACCATGATGACGTCAACACCGCCGTCGCCACCTCCATCGCCGTCAATGCCGACCATCACATCGACTACGCAACCGCCACCCACCGTTTCCGCGGCCGCTCAGACCACATCACCGGTGGCCGTGACGGATCCGCTGTTCTCGCATTACCGGCAGTCCCCGGTCACCGGCCGGC